AAGGAGACCTAGGCCGAATTGGTTTGTTGTGTATTGAGTTTGTGTGTTTGAATGTACCTGCATTGCTGGGAATTCGACTTAAGCTTTGAGTGGTTCTAACTTTGCATACCAGGACCACTCTCATCAAATCAACAGAGAGAACACGCGAAATACGGATGACTCAACACCAACTCCGGACACACGGAAAACTGAACAATCTTTACAACAGACGAGAAGGCCGGAAGAGAACTATGAAAATCAAGCTTCTGACTTTTGTGGCTACAATTGATCGGATCGTGAACAGTAAATGTTTTCGAATCATTGTCATGTAGTGGATATGGCTGCATCATTGTGTGATATATTCGGTGGATACGTGGATGAGTATTTGAAATAGTCCACTCAAAACTACGTGTTCATCATCACTCATCTCCAGCTTCTGCACAAATGACAGTGATTCTCGGAAAAGTCTTCACTCCTTCGTAATTCCTTATTGTGATCAGCCAATTCGTGATGCCTGTTATGAAGTTGTGTACTGACCGTTGATTTCTGTACAACACCCATCTTTACGGCGTGTACTTCAGACAAATTTGTCATCCAGATTATGTATGTATGTGAGGTGGAAACAATTCAACAGAGATGTGATTCCAGTGGTGAAGTGGTAGTGCTCACAGATCTTCACAGTGCTTGACGGCTGTGAGTAGAATATGGGAAAGAAGCTGGAATAGCCGTGTCGAGTAAAGCTGACTTGTTTGCTGTGTATATCAATGCTGAATAAGCTAATTCGAATTATTCAGACGTTCAGTGCTACATACTTAACAATCGGGAATAGGTATGTCTGTGATGTTGTCCGTAGGTGAAATGGAAGCAATATCTCAATGAATTTCAGCTGGTACTTTGCTCATGTGAACAGTGAAGCAGAGGTCCACGGCCTCGTCCTCCTCAGAGTCAGCGTGGAGCTATTCTGCATTTGTGAATAATGACTCATGCATGATGTTGAATGACTCCCCGTACAGTAATCAGTTGGCCCGGTTAGTCTGAAGGATACTCATGTTTAGCAGACTTTATGCACAATGATGCACTGATGTTGTTTGTTTTTCATATTTCAGATAAGTGACCTAGCCAACTACACCACACACCACATAGTACTGTCAAACAGGGTATTCGAGAGACCGAGACTTCAAATTCTATACTGGTCCAGCTTACAGACACATGCTGCTCAGTTCTCGTGTGAATACAAGACAACGAGTTATGCACACAGATCACTGTTAGTCATGAGAACGGAGGAGTCGGACAGATTCCAACGAATAAGAACATCGATTAGAGAAAGAATGGTGAATTTCGTGAAGACAGATGATCTGATTTGGTTGAGCTTGCCAGCTGTCAAAACGTCGACCTCGTTCTACTGTTATGTGGTGAATGCAAGTGAGGTGGGAGAGGATGATGACGAGACGCGTGATGGTTACACGACTGATTTGTCTGGTTCCCTTTACCTGAGCAATCCAGTCTCTGGCTACTACACGGATTCAGGCTGTCCCACACCACCGAAGATAATCGTGACACCTGAGCTAACACGTGTCACTCCACTGATCGCTTCTCGACTAGATGTCACCTGCTCACTGTCTCGCGTGCATAAAGACTACTCAGTCAGGCTTCACCTGAGAAAGCAGAATATGTCATCGGTGATTTGCACTTGCACGCCCAATCGAGTGGCGTCCACTTCAAGTACATCTCCTGAGAATGGTGAGCTGTGTTCCCTGTTCAACCGGCAAAATGACGCGTGCAATATAACCTCAGTCTCAGACGACCAACTCAAGTATTACCCTGCAGTTTGTTCACGCGAGTTCGTCGACTTGCTCAAGGTGAATGTGAAGCTTGAGTTCTCGATTACGAGACTTCGGCTTGTTGACTTCGGGCTGCTGGTTTACTGTGAGACCGTGGATGTGTACACGACTGACAGCGAGACAGCAAGACAACAGTCAGACATTCGAAGTTCTTCCTACTGCTTGAGATTCGAGATCCCACCACAAATAAATCGATTTGTCTACAGACCGAGCTCGAGGAGTTGGCTTTGTGATGTTGTAAGTTATCCAGTCGTGAATACCACGTCTATTCGAGTGACTGCAGCCAGTCCGGAATACCTGAAGATGCAGGTATCAGGTTACAGATTGGAAAGGCAAGAGATAGTTTGTGCGAGTGACAATGTACGCGAAGACAGATGCTTTGAACATCTCACTGTACAGCGTTGGAGTTTATCATCATATCCTGGTGAGAGTCGAGTCCTCGTTGGTGGACAGGTGGAACTGGTTTGTCAAGTTGGACAAAGTGTCAAGTATCTGAATACAACGATAGACAGTGAGCAGTCTCAACTAGAGAACAAACTGGTCCCACTAGATGTGACTTCCAAATCCAAGCCTGTGTTTATGAAGTGTCAGTTCACCACTGACCAGTTGGATCGCTTCCGGAGGATTAGTCTGCACCGGTTTGTCAATGCTTCATGGATGACATATGACTTCACCATTTGTGCCATCGATGTGAGTATGAATCAAGTGGATTCCACTGCATCGTCACACTTCTCTTCTGACTTCACTTATGGAATGTGGTCAAACAAACATGTTCGCTCCAATGACAAGGTGTATTTTATCATCAGTGAAGGCAGACGTGTGGATGTCTATTTCACCGGAGCAACTGTGAGTCGTTGTTATTCTACACATGTGTATATTAATTTTATCCCATACCTGGTCGCCTTCTCGGCCTTGATTGAAAAGCATTTCCGATTTCTTTCACTTCGTCACCTCCATTTATTTGATGACTGTTTGATTTGGTGAATATTGATTTCAACTAGGTATTTCTTAGTTTGATACGACTGGCGTAGGTGATTACTGAACAAGCTGATCTGGATGAGCAATAGCACAGTCGAGAGGAGTGGAGTCACTCACACCAGTGAGAGTTGTCACCAACAGACTCTGATGACCGAAAGGTGACTTACTGTTGCAATCTCACTGATCATCCTGTCATGGTGATGAATGCAACCTGATGTGTACTCACTTTGACCAGGTAGGTTCGTTCAAGTGACTTGGAGAAACTGACAATTCAGAGCAGTGTTCTGACAAAGCATAAGTTTTATCTGTTTTCGAAATGTGGAGACCCGTTCAGTTTCACAAAGATAACAGTGGAAAACAGCTGCCGTAGAAGCAGGCACAATAACCAAAGCAGAAGAGTATTGACGAGTGGAACAAATGGTAAATGAATCACATTTGAATACATATCAGAATAGATGGAATACAACAGTCATACGAGGTTAACCTTGGGTGGTGAGGGGGTACATTGAGCTGACCGACAATCACATGACAACCACAACAGACAGGTGATCATCGGACTAATTCATGGCCTGTCGTAGTGTCTGTCTGTCTGTCACGATTAATGGTGGTTTTGAATGTGGATCTCCTAGAATGTGTTCGAGCAGTTCGCGTCTCAAGCATCGAAGGGAATTGAAAACACCGTAGTTGATTGACAATCTAAACACGGTGAACTAACGTGGATACAACATTCTTCCCTTTTTCCCAGTCACTCGTTTAGATCGTGGGCACTGGTTGTCCACTGTGTGATCAGTCCGTCTACCGTGGAACGGCTGGAACTGTCCTTAATTTTCTGCCTATGTCACGCCTTCACTGTAGAGATTGAGATTGAGAAATTTAGAAGTGGATAAAACTACTCACCTGAGGTTATCGCCTTACCCTCCATCAAATCACACTACCAGGTTGTGTAGTACAACCCCATTTGTGAAAACACAACTCAATTTTCAAATCAGCGCTTGCTAAATCACATTCCGTTTCTAAATATGATAACTGATGTCTATGGTCGCTGTGACTAGTGCAACAACACTTGCTCACACAATCCATGAACACGCCTATTCCAGAGATAGATGTGTATTCAAAATGCATTCAAGGTTTGATGCGACTTTGTTTCCATCTGCAGTTGGAGAAAGTTCAGTGGAAACATTCATCTGTTCAGCTGTCTATGTGACACGCTGATTGTGAGAAAGCTTACGACACTACTTTGTGTGCAGCATACTTCACGCTCTAGTGGAACATACATCAACAAAATATGTCTGTCATCCCGCTAATAAGCTGACTGTAAATCAGATATCAGAATGGACGGTTGTGTCTTAACAGAGATAATATTCGCGTCATGACTGGACAAAGCACATTCAACTTCCTGTTAATTCGATGTGCCGAATGATGATATTTGTTTATCCTCATAGTCAACAACTTAGAAGTATGTGGACTCTGAACATTGAGTGAGTGGATCAACTCGTGTCCTCTCATTGGAACGGCCAATAAATAATGACTTCTTTGAGGGAACGGATACTTGCAAACAACGTCAACCGGCTTTACACAAACCACATTTTGGCTGACTGGATGTTTGTGTGCGTTAAACATCGGCCTCTTGCGTTCACAAAATAATCACGAAAGTCCGTGAGCCTATTACTTGTTTTGAGGTAGAGCCGGCTGACTATTTGTCAGAATCACCATTTCTCTTTTCCTCTCCATATACATGGATATCCACAGAGAATAGATTTGGCCAGTCACACAGGCGCACACGAATATATGTAACTTAAAATGCATGCAGACACTTGTGACTGACGTGTGACAGACTGTGCTTCGTTTGTGATGCTATATCCGACAATACAACTTATTCACTGAACTCAACTCCCTTTATTCTCATTTCCACAACACAGGAGTTCGACAGTGGTCATTATTATTGTACTGCCTATACGGAGAACGGAAAACCAATCACAGGGTCAGTCGAACTGAAAACTATCCCCGGTCAAGCAAAGCAATTACTGCTGGCCTACCGTACACACTCTTCAACAGTGAAGTGGGAGTTCACACATGTGAAGAACATCTCTCAGGGAAATACTCTGACAATCCAATGTGTCGTGTGGTCAACAGATCCTGTCAAGAGATCGCTCACTCAGTTGAGACTTGAATTGGACGGTGCGGATGAAGAAGACGATGGTTTCGTCGAGGAAAACACAGGCACCGACATCATACTTGGCCGCGTGAATATCACAAGGCAGGTCAGTGAAAATATGAAGTCGGTGAAGTTCCGATGTGAGACCTCCGATTGGCAAGGGACACTAGCCTCACCTCACTATACATTCACTGCCTACTGCCCAGGTCCAAAAGGTATCACATGGAGCTCCGACGACTCGAAGGTCTTCTCTCAGTCATCCATTCTGCGTTGCTCAATGAAAGACGGTTGTGCAAACCCTGTGTTTCAGTGGAGGTGGTTGGCTGGCCCCATACCCCAGTTGACTGTGCTCACAGACGATATGCACGTGAAGATCTACGAGAGAGGTGCGGAACTCCGACTCACTCACCTGTCACGGAGTGGGACATATGTATTCCAGTGTAGTGTGACCTGTCGTTGTGGAGATGAGGTGAGTGTGGGACTGGTCGAAGCTACTATTCTGTTCGACAACGAAGTGATGGGTGAGTCTGAGTTCGATTGGAGAGATGACGAGTCAGGTGAAGTAGAGTCGGATGTGACTGACTCGCGCTTTGATATGACACCTTCTGAAGGACAGTTGCTGCAGAGTGGGGATCTGGAAAGTGATGCTGGCTACCCAGATATTGACTCAGACACTGTGTTGAGAGACGAGGAAGTGGATGAAGAAGCGCAGGAGCAGGAAGGTCTCGACACGCGACGAGATGGGAAGACAATTCGGAGTGAAGCTTCAACAGACACGGAATATGGTGGTGAGCCTGATTCCGACATTCCTGAGTATGACCAGAATGAACTCGTTGAGAGACGCCTGAAGAAGAAAAAGAGGAAGAAGAAAGGTAGGAGGAGGAGGAAGAGTGAGGAGAGGAGAAAAGATGAGGAGACAGGGAGGCAGGAGCGAGGATATTCGGATGATGAAAGAGACCATGAAGCACCTGCATATACCAGGATTCCAGGAGAGATTTCCGATGTGGGGGAGTGGAGTGAGACTGAAGTGGAAGGTAGACAGGTGACACCTGTGGGATGGAAACAGACTCAGGAACCTGGTGAATCCGAATCGAGTGATGTGTCCTCCCAGGTGCACCGGCGGAGAGAGCGGCGACATCCTGATGCGGGAGGGGAAGTTCCTCACCCATGGGGAAAGCAGGAAGATTCCGACGAAGACAGTGACGAATCTGGTGAAGTTCTGGGTGACAGACGACGACGCCTCACAGAGTGGGATGTCACTGATTGTGAAGAAGTCGGCCCTCGACCAGGTGTTTACGGGCGTGGAGTTGGTGGAACACGAGAGGCAGATATTGTGAAGACTGATTCCAAACTGGACACATACCGGAAGAGAATGAAAGGGAAGGAGGGAAGAGGTGAGGGTGTTGTTGGTGCAGGTGAAGCTGGAGACCGGAGTGATGAGCGAAGCGTCATTAGGCCAGATTCTGATGTTCTGCATGTCGTGGAGTCATTACAGTCATATGATGACTCACAAGACGAACACAGGAAACGCGCTTATCAGGAACCCGTCAGAACTGGTGTCAAGAGAAAACCATCAACAGCCAGTTGTAGACATCAATGTGGATCAGAGACATCCTACAAATTTGAAGATACTGAGGAACGCGATGGTTGGAGAAATAATGAGAAACGCCTGTCGGAGGTGCCGATTCGTCGAGTTGGAGGGACTCAGCTTGACGGATTGCACAAACGAGGCAGAGTACCACCTTACACACCACCTTACATCGCCACTTCTGATGACGATGACACCGGTTCCGTGAGGATGTTTGTCAAGTGTTTCGAAGTGGGCGATTTAGAGAACGGGAAGTTCAGAATCAAGAGAATACTTCATCGTTACCTTAGTCGAAACAAATTCATGTTGAAAAATCTGCCTCTCCACTACGTCTTCGAGGAGTTGAGCAGACATTGCGACCAGTTGACTCTGAGAGACTCCATAACACTCCCGTCGACCAGGATTCATCCTCAACAAGTGGATCTATCATTCTTCAGATATCCACCTGAATCAGTGGGAGAGGTTCAGTCGACTGCATTCGGCTCATCACCTTCTTCACACTTGTCTCGTATTTCATGGAAACACCAATACAACATGGGCCATATTCCACGAGACGACAATCCTACTGTCAAACGGAGGAAGAAACTTTCTGTCATCATTCAACCCAATCCGATCGTCGCCAACTCCGTCACAACTCTCGGGTGTCCAGCAGTGTTCTCCAATGTCGCGAGATATTCGAAGCCACTGCACATCACGTGGATACGCAATTCGGGGACAAGCAGTGTTTCACGCCAGAACACCTCACAATCGATCGTCACGTTTCCGACGAGCCGTCGTCACATCGTTTCAGATGACAACAGCTGGTCTTCGAAAACGTATATTTATCCACCATACAGGTGGCCTATCCACTACACGCTCGATATCAAGCCAACCGACACGAAGAGCTTTGGTTATTTCAGCTGTGTTGTCACATACAAGGCATCGAATACACTGGTCAATGCCACCTACCATTCCACAACGCCACTCTGTATTGTCCATCCAACTGAGAAACCACAAGTCTCAGTCATCAGTATGCACTCACCACAACTCACTGAGAACTATGATGACTCCGCTTGCTATGAACCTGGAGAAGAGATCGAAGCTCACTGTCATGTTTCACTATTCCGGCTGTTCTGTGAAGATGATGACGAGGAAGTGGCCGGTTTTCGAATGATTCAGACCGTTGTTTCACTATCGCTGATCAGTGGAGACAAGCATTCCAGCATCGAGGTGATCAGATCAGATGACCTAATCCCACAACACGGTAGCAATACAAAAAGCAAACACACTCACCACGCTAAATTCAGACTACGTCTGTTGTCTGAACACAATCGAGCCCACCTGATGTGCACTGTTCGACCGGATGTTGTACTGCCGAATATCAAATCGCCAGTCTACGGACAGTGGTTAAGTCGGAGGGTGAATTACGACGATCGAAATAAACTGACACGATCATCGAAGCCAATCGAGTTATGTGTATCTGGCGATTCCTACAAATCAGATTATGCTGGCGTATCATCAGTGGGCGGTGAATCTAATGATGAGGAGGTACTTCGCCTCACAGTCCGACCATCCGAGGTGGTCAGTTGCACGAGTCCCAACCCCATCTTCACACCAACCATCAAAGTCTACGAAGTTACCACACAGACACTTGTCAAATCTCGTCAATTGAATTGGTCTGTTCGTAGTGACGAAGGAACTGCAAGCTTGACTCTACCTCGAGATTCCACTCACAACAAAATCTACAGAATCCATTGTGAAATCCACCAGCTCAGTTTGAAACAGGTGAGTGACTCATTCGAGCCTAATTTAAATCCATGGGTAACATTTACTTGTGTAACGCTCCTATGAACAGTGATTTCCGTAGTGTTTTCGGGTTGTAGAATGCACTGTTCGAAGGTGTGAAATGATGGCATTGACGATCAAAGTGTTGTTGATGTCACATGAACATAAAGACACTCGACAACCTGTCACAGAATTCAATTTAGCCAACATGAATGTTGGAGAGATCGCATGAAAGAGTGCATTTGCAACAGGGACTTCATTGGATTTCACGTGCGTACACGGGCTTTCCATTCGGCCATTCGTGTCATGATGCCTATTTTTCTGGGCTTCGTGGCTTCAGTCACAGTAGCCGTTACTCATCTCATTCAACATTCGTAATTCCTCCACAGTATGTTTTCTTTCGTGGAAAATATTCCTCTCTGTCTCGATGTCTCTGACCAGAGAACAGTGCAGATCAGGCTACTTAGAAACGGTTCAATGAGTCTCCCATGATGAGAATAATTCATCACATACACGTTGTGCATGATTCCACCAGTGTTGCAATAGCACAGATTCACTTCATGAAACAGCGAATTCTTCAACCACCACTACACACTTAGCTCTTATGCATAACTACTGGTAAGTCACCACATGGATGCTGACTGTCGGTGTCAGTACGTACTGCTGACAATCACCGATGAATTAAATGTAGAACACTCGATGGATTAACTACGTATCCACAACACTTTCAAATACACGAGGTGTGCAATCAGTTGGAAGCAGTGTACTAACACAGGTGAACAGGCAGATGGAGGTGAGTGAAGCGCCAGTGAATGACAGGTAGTGAAGCAGGGTTAGGCAGTCGAATAGAATGAGTAAAAGAAGGACCACAGGAGAGAGTAATAATAGTGACTTAGATGTCAGATTATCTGCTTGATTAGCCACATAATTCAGTCTGCTCAACCGGTGAGTGCTACACTCTATCTAACAGTATGGTGGATATGAAGAAAGGACAGTGTATTCTCCGATAGGTAATTGTCACACTCGAACACATCGAAGAAACCTGAATGTATGGCACTTTGCATTATTATTTGCACTTTTGTCTACTCTCCTACCCTTAAGATGTTGACATGAATTTCTCTTGCTTCCTCATTCCATGATGAATACAGCTCATCATCGTACGAGTTCGCGATTACAATGTTCGCCAGCTGGATATGTACATTGGACAGTCGGTGATGCTTTGCATCTCCATCGCCACTACCCTGGTATTACTTTGGCTTCGCCTAATCTATCCTGGGAGGATTCGTCTGCATTAGTGTACAATGAAGAATGTGGTCAAGGAACAGATTTTCTTTATCTCTTGTCAACACTATTCACGATTACTCATCATCACTGAGCGTCAACATTCTCTCTTGGATCGGTTGACCTCGATGTCTGTCTCAACGTGTACATTACTCCTGTCAACCATTGATGATGCTTCAAATCTGGATTATTGATTGACTTCCAAATACGTGAAGTATGCAGTTTGTAATTTTTATTTTTCATTCAGCTTTTGATTTCTCAGCAAGAGTTTTTGTTTATCACTACGTGTACTCACTCACTCACTCACTTACTCACTACTTACTACTAACTCAAAGACATATAACTCATCAGTTATACTGAGTATTGAACTATGTAGTGTACTATGTACTTTGTACTAGTGTATTTCATATTGAAAAATAAAATTGTACGGCCATAGTGATCCGGTTGTGTGTGGTTGTGCGCTTTATTTTATCGATACGTTTTGCACAGAAGACGGGATATCCAACTCCACGATGATGTTTCAAGAAACAATATGACTACTAGTATGAAATTGGTGTTGTGATTTCGTATAATTTAGTCGATGTGTGATAAATCTTCTGTGTCGGTCCATTTCGCGAATCACAGTTTGCGAACGATGCTGAGTGTTTGTGACGCACGTGTTCGACTGGTCATTCAGGTTTTGTCATATCACATTATATTCGAAATTCCTTGAAAACTTTGCATGGTGTCATGCGAGGGATGTTTGCCAATAAATGTGGAACAACTTTCGTGTTGATGATTATGTGCAACAGTTTCGTGTGTTCGTGTGTTTGCAGTTCCACATTAGAAGTAGCCAGAATTGAAAAGGAGACTCCATCGTCGAGAGTTATCATTGCTGAATGTTTACACGAATAGAAGAATTTCGGGGAAAGCTTCCGGTGCTTATCTGGTGACCAGGCAGCAGCTAGCAGGTTTCCGAATCTCAGCGTAGATCAGGACAATGATGGTTTCAAAGCTGTGTCGCAGTATATTCGCACGTGTGGCTACTAAACTGAAGCATGGAACACCTTCGACATTACAGTGTGAGCCAGAAGTTCATTTATCAAATATTTAGTTGGTTTGCTACAATTATTTCAGCCTAAGATGCCATGAGGTGTGTACACGTTGGACCGGCGTTTCATTGTACAGCAGATGGGAAATCGAACTGATCAATAAAATATACGGAAACCAGATGACCACAAGTCAGCAGACTGTGTCTTCTGAGCCAGGTGGTTTCATCGCGAAGTTGTCGTCGTTCTTCTCGACATCAGACTTCGCTTTGCGCAGAACTGATCCAAATTCTCCATGAATGCTGTAATTGTCTCTCCAGACGTCTCTCCTTGTGATTGCTTGCTAATTCTTTGCATAAGCATCAATCATTTTATTGACTTGCGATTTGACCATACCTGACAAATCTTTTGATCAGCACTCCACATTTCGAATTGAAAAATTTCAAAATACAAAGGCAGTTAAATTTACGTGACATTCTATGTGACGATGTATTCTGCTGCTTTCCGCTCTACTACTTACAACCCATCCAGTAGATTGTCGGCAGGCCTACAATCGGATTACCGTTTAGCCCATCATAGGTAAATTCAGACAGTCACTTATCAACCAAAGCATTGTCAGATGGATTCGGTCCCCTTGATTTCATATGCTTCAGGTCTTCCACACACACAACACACACACCAACGCACAGCAATTCGAAGGTTCAAGCAGTATTTGACAAGACTCATTTCACGCTTGAAGGTGACCACTTTCAAAGAGTGCATGGTGTATCAGTGTAAACTAGATTGGGATCAATAGCGGCTGTCATATATACACATGTCACGCATTTAAAATGTAGCTGTGTTGATTTCACCGCTACTTTCCTTCCACATAACAAGATGCGTCGAAGATAACAAACACCGAAATTTGTAGCATTTTCAGAAGAGCACAACCAATCTACCAATTCAGTCGTGATAAGTTTGTTAACAATGATTGGTTGATATTAACATGTCTGTCAAGGGCAGGGTGGGGCAGGGAGGTACGGTCGGTGCGGTGCGGTGCTGTGCGATGCACGGAGTGAGGTGATAAAAAGCGGATTCAATTCTTCTTATTTTTATATGAAGTGTGATCGACATTTAACCGAATAATTGCAGAATTACTGGGTGCCGAGTGAGAAGTAGACATATGTGAACATTCTATTTGTGAAATGTCAGAGAAATCGAAATGAGAAAATAATTTCAACGTTCCGTTCGCAAAATTCACTCGATCGACTTCAGAGAGTTTAATCAAAATAAAATAACGAAGGTAGGTACATGTGTATGTGGGTGTATGAAACGACACGTCTGGACTTTGAAATTCTTCGCTGTTCACATCAGACAGCAAATGACAGACACGAAAATCAAATATCTAGAATTACATGAATTGTGATGAAAATTTAACCACAGACTTATAATTATCGGTGTGTGTATTTCTGTTATATTCTTTAAACACTGTACTTTTGCATCACACGTCAGTGATCACGTCCGATTGACGTTCGTCAGCATTAATGACTGAGTATGAAAAGTGCGTATATACATCCGATATACAATAATGGCTGAGTGTATGTGCGCGTGTGCATGTGTGCGTGCTTACGAGAACAGTTGTGTCTCACTTGTCAGCCTCTCCATATAAAGACATTTGTAACCGGTGAATACTGACTAGTCATTGTCATCTAATCAGATTTGCTTATTCACTTGTGGCTTAAATTCCTGAGGTTTTGTCTGGTGAACGCGGTCATCGTTGGTGCAGTCAAGTCTTACTCTTGCGTCTACTTCCTTGTGTGGGAAAATTTTCAAGTGACGTATCTGGGTGTATCTGCAGGACCTTGTATTAGAACAGCCCTCGTTTCCCTGTGAGTTGGATGAGCTGAATGATAGATAGTCAAAGAATTTCCGAGAAGGTGTAGTTCTCTTACATGAAGTCGTTTTATGCTGCCATATCTTACTCATTAAGGTCACGCCGGATACACGTCACATAGGTGACTCAGCACAACTCTCAACAATCTGGAAGACAAAAAATAAATGAACAAAAAATGAGCTATGTGTATATGATTACGAATCACAAATGTGTGAGTTAGTAAGACGGAAACGATTCCAACAGCTGGTGGGATCACAGGCACCGTTTTTACTCGAAATATCACCGTCACATAAAACTTGTCATTGTGTGTAGACCGGTGAGGTGTAATTACAAGTTCTTTAATCTATTCCACAATGTCCACCTATTTCTTACTGACATCAATATTTGTCACTTGATTTATTTGGATCGTTTGACACCTGTTTCATCATAGTTTGGGTATCAATAACACCACGCACTCACGATATCACTAGACATCGAGCCAACGACTTCCAGCTAACGTGATCTAACTCGTTGACCGACCATTCAGTCACATTCTCACGGAATTCAGTGATCTGAGTCAATAACTAGTCTTGTAGCCTCAACGTTTACTCACTCTCTTGGATTTACGGCCGTTCAATACATCACTGAAGGTCATATGCGCGATCAGTGTGAATTCGATATTCGATAGGTAGAAATAGACATGAAGAGTGTAAATTATATGCGGAGAAAAACAAGTATGTGGTGGAGTCTTAGTGAACTAAAGACAAAGTGAATGCTGGCCAGTTGTACCTTGTGAAATCCACTGTACAATGTTTTGGGTTGTTTAAAACAACTCATCTAAAACTTGTGCATTCTCATTCTCATAATACTTACATGTTGAAAACACCTCAACAAGCGAAGAAGCACATTGATCATAATTTGGAGCGAGTAGTCATAGACGTGCATTTATACGAAAGCAAACGAGATTTGTTCAGTAGTCAGATACTGAAAAAAAACACCGAGATCTCAACAAGCATAATATGATATAACTCCATACCACTTTCTAAATTATTAACATTGCAATTGTGGAGATTCACAACAGTCAGTGAAACAAGAAACATGTCAAGTTTGAACACTAATAATATCGAGTCAGTCAATGTTCCTGCATGCTTCAGACACCTGGCACACCTCACCCCACAAGCACATCACACAGGTCCCTACAGACATCAATAGTAGCGACCAGATGGATGGCTAGAAAATGTATTCGGCTAAAGGAACTATGACAGACAGCTAATCAGCTAAGTGGTGATTACTCAACAAATGAACATTGATCGGACATACGCTGAGGCGACTGCTGAATCGCACGTCATGCACTCAAATGGAGTCCGAATGGAAGAGGATGAATTGGCAGTTGGGGGTGACAATGAGGAGATCGTGTGACGGAGAAATAGACGTCTATAAGTACTCTTGAAGCTGACTGAAAGGATCTCAGAGGACGGAGGGAAATGGCGAAGCCTTGTGTTCCATTTGGGAAGTCCTTATCAGAGGCTGCATACACTAGTTAAATACTCTCCCTATATGTTCAGAGAAAACGCTAGGAATGAGGCGAATAAGTGCATAGAAACTTTCCCGTCTTGGTTGCATACATTTCAATTCTAGAGATGGTTGACAGGCAACAACGAAGGTGCACACGTAATTACTACGTTGTACTAGCTATTCAATTTGAGAGATTTCGAATTAGTGCATTAAAATATAGTCTTCAGGTCTTTACGGTTCATGACGAAGTATTCTGATCTAATGAAAAACAACTGAGCGGTTTCACGCTGCTCTAGGAAAAGTTGTGAACTAATTACCATGTGGTCGTGTGAATGATCACGCCGTCGATGGCTGATCAGTGTCTATGCCGTTTTGAGTGGACTTCGAATCACACATAGCTAACAATGATACTCTATGTAGTTTTAATCAAGGACGATATTTTTCGTGGGTTCACACTGTCGTGGCATTTTCATCAGGATGAATTAACTTGATGGAGCACTGTTTATTTGTGAATGTGAATTACGAAATCTTCAGAGACATTCGCTGTCGTTCAGTTTATAAGGAATTCGCCAGTGGGACTAGTCAAGAATGCAACAGTATATACGATGAATGGATGTGAAATTCGCTCCGTGATCAAGTGACTGCTGTGCAATTCTTCACCGCTCTCTACTGCATATTTGTTGGTTCTGAGATAGACGCTTGTTTGTCTGACTGTTTGTCAGAGATCCTTGTTATTTGCTGATTCTCTCTGACTGATGAGTTGTTCTTCAGTGTGGAGGCGGTGAAGGAGGTTGTTGGTGAAAATCTACATTAGCCTGCTTGTGATGTTTATCGTGACACTGGCGCCAAATCTCTCAATCACATAGAAGCACTGACTAACTTCACACCTCAGTGTCAGATATTCGGATGTTCTTCCTTGTGTTTTGTT